ACACAGGGGACAGAGATAAGTGTTAAACACCACCATGAAAGTGCAATCAGCACAAGCCACGGGAAATCTTCGGTACAAATAACTCAGTCCTTTTACAAATAAGTTACAAGGAGAAATGGGGGCAAGGGTGAGAATGGCTTAAGAGATCTATCAATCTCTTAAGCAAGGTATTGATATACGGCCCTCACCTGGATACCATGAAAATGTTTTTTCAAAGCACATTTAAGAGACAAGAAGGGAACTGTGAACAATGACAAGATACATAGCGACACAAAGAAATTGTTTTGGTGATTTAAAAAAAACATAAACATGATAGCATTAAAGAGTCCTTCTATTTTAGAAACACCTAATAAAATGTTTACAGCTGAAATTATGTCTGGAATTTGCTCCCCAAATCATCTGGTAGGCGGAGGGGGAGGAAGGGTAAGGGGGAATGCGGGCACACATGGAAGGAGACGGACAATGCTGACACTGGGTGATGAATAAACGTTGTTCAAAATGTGCCACGATGAAAGGTGGTTTTTCTGGTTGTGTTTTTTTTTCTTTTTTTAAATAAACTATACCCACGCTCGAGGTTGTGAGAAAGCCTAGTACTCAACAAGATCAATAAAGCAGGCTGTTTGGACCATGTTTGTACGTGATGTTATATCACTGGCTATCACAGCCACTTTAGTATGTCAAACAAAAAACTGTATTAATCTGATTATTTTCCAAGTGTTGAGAGAGCAACAACATCTTTCATAAAATAAAAGTCTAAGCTGCCCCCACATATCAAGCAAATTTATTTTTGCATATACTATCAATATCGCCTTGAAACATCTTTTAAGTGTGCTTTCTTATCAGCCAGCACAAAGTCTTAGACATTATAAAGCTCAGTTACTTGCCAATTAAACTGACATAGGACAGGGTACAAGGTTGCAGGAAAAAATGCCAATTATAAAGCATCATGAATAGTAAAAGATTCACTTTCTATAACACATGTAGAAGTGTACATAACTGCAGAGAGAACAATCTACAAGAAAACATACCAAAATTGTCAGTAAGTCTCTAGAGTGATAGAATCAGGTACCTATACTCTTTCCCAGACCATATACACTTTTAAACTTTTCTAAAAATATCACATATTAACTAGTTAAAATATATATGCACCATAAGAAATTAATAGGACTATAAGAGACATTTAAGAAAAATTTATAAAAGTGACATGTAAAAAATTTATGAAAAGTGACATGTAAAAACAGTTATGAAATTCTACCTATGTTTGCAATTACACAATATGCCTCTCTAATAACATTTCATAGATCATGGTCCATACAACACTGCAGTTCCTCAAGAAGTTACAGGGATAGCTCTTGGAAAGGAGAGACTGTGGTCAAATATATTTGGGAAACAAAGTTAAAAACTGAATTAAAACTTTATTACAGATTGATCTAATTTTAAATTCAAAGCCCATGTTCTGAAGAGAATGAATTGCAGAGCTGAATTTCAATGTCCAGCAAGATATATGTTTATACTGAGTGTAGTTACTACTTAGAAATGAGGGACTGGATAAGTTATTTGACCTCTTTAAGCCTCCATTCCTGTTAGAAGAGTAAAAACTATCTTTTGAGATTGTTGAATGGTCTGAATAAGACACTGCACAGATCATGAAAGTGGTTAATACCATCTGGCCACTGCTATTTGCAGCCCTAGAAGGTCATCTGATTCCCTGAGTGTACATCCCTTCATTTCAAGTAAAGAGCTCTAACTAGAATTGCTGAGTCTTACTGGAAATTTCCAGAAGACACAACATTTGACTAACCCTGCTTTGATCAACTGTAGACATTTCACCGGTCAACATTTCTGGGTGGGAGTGGGGAGCAGAAATACAAGCATGGCTCCTTAGTCTCCTACGAAGTCTGAGTGCAGTTCTTGCTCTTAGGCTCCATGAGTTTACCCAGTACCATTCCCCTGGGGTATTTTTATACAATGACAATACTGTTGTGCCCTTCAATAATGCTGAAGTAATACCAATCTAAGAGAATGAAAATTAAAGTGGCACATGCATTCCCTTACTTAAAACCAACAGCTTAGAATGATACGGCACTGCCTATCTTCCCAAAAGAATTAAAAGCACATAGGATTTATAATTATCTCTATTTATAAAATCTTTTATGGGGCGGAGATAGGGGAGCATCTATGCCTTTCATTTATTACCTAAACATTCACTCCTTTCCCAGATAATTTTTTCCAGTTCCTGCTCTGTGCCAGGTACTGATCAAACAACAGGGAAGTACTCCATAAAACAGACATGGTATGCCCTCACTGGGTTTATCAGACTAGCAGTGAAGGATACAAATCAGCAAACAGTATTCCGTCATAATACCTTGGACAGTCAGTAAATTAAGGTTTATTTTCTAGCTTTTACATAAACTGACAACTCTGCAGAAAAGTTTAAAGTTTTCCTTTAAACACATGAAATATACCTCAATCGGCCTTATTACTATATTTCTTTTTGCCTCCATCTATTTGTCATGTTCTTTCTAAAAATAACAGCCAAAAAAATAAAAAATAAAAAAATACATAAAAATAACAGCCAAGCAATGAACGATAGTACCTTCCATTTTGATCTAACTTTTACTAGCACTTTTAAGAACTCAACGGGCAGAGTTACTACAGCATAAACCAAAATGAGTTGGTTGACAATTATGGGCAGATTTAAATTAAGATTACAGAAAACACTCTTGGCATTATATATCTACATATAAATTCTTCACCATAATATCAAACATATGACAGCCATTCAAATTAACTTGATATCCCCTAAGTATGTTCATCTGTAGCACTTTAATAAAACTAAAAATATAATCTGCAGTCAAAATTTTGTTGGTGTCTTAATTTATTACTGTTTTCATGCATTAATCTGTAAACATTTTTTATTTCATTAGACAACAGTACACATTAAAACAAAAATAAAATGTGCGAACTGCTTCTATTTGTGCTTAAGAACAAAGTGGACAAGACAGAATATGGACACACCAACCACCAGAGAAACAAAACGGAAAAGCCATCAGAATATGGGATATTCAAAGGTCACAAAGCAACAACAAAAGTACTGTCATTTCCAAAGCGTAAAAAACTGTAGTATTCCCCCATGATACAATATGAGTTTAAACATAAAATGTACTAATAATGTTAATATAAAATTTATTAAGAACAATCATTAACATTAATTGATTGATTACTATGTGTCAAAACACTATTCTAAGTGCTTTACAACTGATTTAATCCTCACAACCATCATAAGAGAGAAGTGACATCACTACTCCCTCACTACATTATATGGCACAAAGAGATGGAGTAATTTGCTAAAATCACAAAGCTGCTAAGTGATAGAACCAAGATTCAAACAAAAGCAAGATGATTATAGAGCGTACTCTCTTAACCACTCTAATCTTCTGTCAAAAATGATAGCAGAAAAATGTTCTTCAGGCTACAAAGTTCAACTTGACTGAAAACAGAACTCACCATGTCTCAATACAGTTCCAAGCTCTAATCCTCAGTGCCTGTGAGTGTGTGAGTGGAGTAAGTGGAGAGCCATTACTACAGAACTAAGAGAGGCTGAGGAGAGGGCAAAACACGTTTTGTTAACTGACCGATATTAATAACTTGTTTAACTGATGGATACACTAATCTTTTGGTGAAGATTTATTTGTCCTTCAGTTGTTGAGAGTTCATCTCATTGTCCCTAGGCTATTAAATTAGCATTATTTAATGCAACGCAACCATAAGTGCAAACAGGGGAACCAAAACTGCATGGTGATATGAGATTGCCACTCAGCTGATTCACAATATGCTTAAATTTTTTTTAATATTCTAATTAAAAAAAGTTGTTTTAAATACAACAGCTAAATATGCTTAGGGAGAACTCACATGCTTGCCTCAAAGTATCTTTATACTCAGCTGACAAGAACAGCTTATAATAAGATCTAAAGATAATCAATATCATTGACGGCCTCTCCCTCCAACTTAACTACTAAGTCATTATTTGTCTGTAAGGAGAGAAAATGATTGAGATCCAGTCAGCTTATGGGAGAGCTTAAATGAAATGAAGTGAGAAGCTCAAAAAGATGCATATCAGAATGAAGTCAGAATACCTTATCGGTCTGGTGGTCATTCCGTAAGCTCCACAAAGTGATTCAATGCACACGCTCTAACATAACAATAACATAACGTAACATAACAGGTCTATCATTTGATATCCCTTTCAAGGCAATGTATTTAAAAAAAACAAACAAACAACAAACCCTTCCTAACAATAAATCTAATCTTTGGCAATCAAAATCTAGGTTATTTTTTAAAATCAGTCAAACATTTTTCACACAGGCAGAAATTTCAAAAGTATTCTGCCTCTTACTGGATAAAAGGAAACAAGGCAAAAAAACCTTCCTAAAAACAATGTTTAAAGTAGGTAGTTAGGTGTTTATTATACTAGAAAAACAAGAGTGGCAAAAGAAAAAAGCAGAAAGCAGGAACAATACACTTTAAAGTAAAATGTCTAGAAAACTTAAAATCAACATAAAATGTTGGTAAAAACCAAAATGACTCTCATATGGCTAGTTATAAGCCTTTTTTTCCTATGTTTACTAACTCTCCTGATGAGATGACATACATCCAAAGTTATTCGTTTGGTCCTCATTTAAATTTCATCAAAAGAAACATTTTAGATTTTTCAAAGTTTTAGTTACATCTTTTATATATACAACATTATAGTCTGACTAATTGCCAAACTGGCGTTTCTCAAGTGTAAAAACCAAAGGTAATATCATAGACTGATATTAGCTGGCTAAATGAAAAATGATAATCAAAAAGGGAAAATCATGACAACACCTTTAAAAAGTTCAAAAGTTTCAGACATCAAATAATGTATAGTGTTTTAGGGTCTAGATATTTTGTTACTAAAATTCGAAAGTATAAGTAAATTATTCACATAAAGACCTGCCCCATTTTCAAGGACTTACCTTCTTTTTATCCCTCATTGAGCCTTTGCCTCGGACCATTATCTTACATCCTGTTTCTGCTTCAAGCTGTTTAGCAGTAAGTCCTCTAGGTCCAAGGATTCTCCCAACGAAATTAAACTGGGGGGAAAAAAAATCACCATACATTATTCACTTAAAGTTATTTTAAAGTATAAATTTACTTCCTTCAGTTAGATTTTTAAAAAATATTAAGTTGAAATAAAATCTTATGAATTTCTTGACAAGTCTGGGGGTGAAATTACAGCAGCTCATGTTTAGCTTGAAATTTTCGTATGTATTAATACAAATTATGGATTAGGAACAACAGTATCTAACTAAAACAGGTACTATACTCAATTGCCCATAAACATGTAATCTAAACCAGAGTATATTAAAGAGTTAGACAAAATCTTAGGTGCCACCCAAGAATGCAATTCCCTTCTACAAAATCCTTTATGACAGGGTTCAGGGAACTGTTCATTATGTTAAATAGTGGTGGCCTTTTCTACAGAAATCCTTGGGGGAGAACTCCTGTCTTATTTATCTAAGTTATACTTTCTCCAAAGCAACTGTTCAGAGAGAATTGTATTCTGCGGTTGGCTGCCAGAACACTGATGGCCAAATGTGGATTCCACCCTATACTAAATATTTAAGTCATGAGAGTCTACATTTTTCACCACACTCCTTGCACAATTTTATCTCTGCATCCTTATTTACATTTTTCACCACACTCCTTGCACAATTTTATCTCTGCATCCTTATTTTCCTTTCTATTTTCCATTTCTACCTTTAGCTTATATTACTACTTTGACAAAGAACCTTAACTCTTATCACGAATAGGACAGTGACAAAAATAATTATATAAATAAGTAATTATCATCCCTCCACAGAAATGTCAAGTATTCATTCACAGAAGTTAATTTTTTTAAAAAGTCCAATGGGAAGAACAGATTGACTCTGAATATTGAAAAGTAAATTTTCCTCGTTCACATGTCATCTGCATAAAAGACACAAAAAAAATGAACGTTCCACAAAGACTGATGGGTGGTTTACTATCAGTTCCACAAAGACTCATGGGTGGTTTCTATTAACTTATTCAATCAATTAAGTTACTGATTCTTATGCTTCCTATTTTTTTCTTGCATTTTAATCCTACTGTTAATGTATCGTTAGTAACACTAATATGCCAGAATTTACTGCTGTCAAGGCTTAAGCAGCCAGGGAAGTTCTTCAATCTTCTGTACTCCAATGGCTTCTTACTTTGCCTTAGCTGCTCACCAGCACCGCCACATCTTACAAAAGTGATTCCCAAATGAAAGACGGGTAGTACACATATAAGGATGGAAGAAAGCCCTCTTCCCTCCGGGGATTACGATATAAGTTTTTCCATCCCAAGCTGAGGAGAGGGAATGAAGTTTTATAGAATCTGTGACTACATATAAAGGTGGGGTTGGCAAGTTGCCGAAAAGTAGGAAGAGTCTGCTCTAAATGAACAGAGAGCCAGGCCTGTTGATAGATTTTCTGTGATATGTGTGTTTTTTCCCTTTCTCAGACCCTCGTTTTAATATATTTTTACTCTGTACTGCGTGAAGTTGGTCAATTCTAGATGTACTTGGATTTAAAGGCAACCTCTTAAAAAATTTCATGGAATTTTCTGTTAAGTACTAAGGGTAATTCAGACCAGCTTAGCAATTCCAGTAAAATAGGACACAGAAGGAAAAAACATCTGCTTGAATGCATGAGAGATCCAGCAAGACTGTGAAGAATTGCTAATTCAGGATCGTAGGGAGGACACAGAATCAAGAGGATGTTAGCCTGGCTTTGGGGAACTCCTTGTCCTCTAGGTATGTTTGCTGAATCCGGAGAGGACAGCTGAGAGCCTGAACTTCAAGGGACGTGGTCTGGAGTGTGTAACTACCAATGTGAGCGCCTCCCCGTCCCCGGTCTTTGCTTTGGGGAGGGATCTGATGGGTGTGCATTCTGGGGGTAAAAGTGAACCCTAATTTCCCAGGCCCTTACAGACTCTGCATATGAACATCAAAACTGTCTCAACCTCAATAAGCAAAATTGTACCGAGGTGATCTTGGGTTGCCAGTTAACAGTAGGTACCTGTCAGAAGCTGACATATACTCTCTCTGGAGGAAGACAACATAATCTTAGGCCTTATATTATTTTTGTAAGCTATTCAGTAAATACATTATCTGGCACACACTAGAAAACAACCAAATACACAAGAACGTAAAATGACATTAACAAAAATCTGAAGAAACGACAAGACAAAAGAAACAAATCCACCAGGCCTCTAGATATTAGAATTAATCGACCCAGACTTTATAAGCATTATGCTTATTATGTGTAATTTTGTTTAGTTTGAGTATTTTTCAGTAGAATAGGAAACAACCTTTCATTTTCAAATTCAACTTAATGAAACATGTATTCAAGGCTTCCTATGTGGCAAAGAGTGAAATAGATGCTAGGAATTTTTTTTAAAGAGGAGGAAGGGGAGGAGAGGAAGAGGAGAAATTCTCCTTGCTCTCAAGAAACCTGTGAAAATGCCTTTACTCTATTTCTACCTTGACTGCTTCTTAAAATAAGTAGTCTTTGCCAGCTCTTCCTCAATAATAGTTGTGCTCTATACAGATCTTTTTCCAAAGTAACTCATATAGTTGATATACATTATATATCTCAAACATGGCAAAGAATGTCTGGAAAAATGCATTACGAATGGAGGTACTTTAGCACTTCAAATAACTAATATGTAATTGTTTTATATTTGTGTCCTCTGTCAAAGTGGTCAGCCTCCACTTCATGACATACAAACACCTAGAAGACCCTCTGTGGGGCTTCCCTGGTGGCACAGTGGTTAAGAATCCACCTGCCAATTCAGGCGACATGGCTTCGAGTCCTGGTCCGGGAAGATCCCACATGCCGTGGAACAACTAAGCCCACGTGACACAACTACTGAGCCTGTGCTCTAGAGCCCACGAGCCACAACTACTGAGCCCATGTGCCACAACTACTGAGCCCATGTGCCACAACTACTGAAGCCCGCACGCCTAGAGCCCAGGCTCCGCAATAAGAGAAGCCACCGCAATGAGAAGCCCATGCACCATAACGAAGAGTAGGCCCTGCTCACCACAACTAGAGAAATCCTGTGCACAGCAACGAAGACCCAACACAGCCAAAAATAAAAATAAATAAATTTATTTTAAAAAAAGAAAAAAAAAGAAGACCCTCTTTGGCACATTCTATTATTTTCACGTATTAAATCTCTTTTGCTGAAACCACAGCATTAAGATTACATAGAAAAAGACTTCTACCATAGCTAAGTAATCCTCCCAATTATTATTTACTAAATAAAAAATGTTTTAAAGCCAGTCAAAACCAACATATTAAATCTGTAACAAAATTTTCCTAACCTTATAAATTAACCAATCTCTACTGCACCACAACCAGCAAAAAACAGCTCAAATGTGTTAAAGTGCATACCACTGGGGTTCTAATACAACTGAAACCATCAAGGTCATCCTTCTCAAAGTGGTGTAAGTAGAGAATGAAAAAAAATTAATCATAGCAGCTGCTTTGTCTACTGCAACCAATTTCCAAGTTAATATCATTTGCCTTGCATTAAACTTCATTCTGTGTTGATTTATCATGCTAGTTTTGCAGCTTCATTCAATTAAACCAATGTCACAACACATTCAAAGAAAATCATTTCAAACAGCCTAAGCTAACTACAACTTTAAAGGCTGAAAGAAGAAAAAAGAGACATTCATTAACTCTACTGTTTAAGTACAGACCTTCTCTGTGGCTTACCAATTATATCTCTGCCAGTGCCATGTTAATTTCTAAAGAAGAGGTTAACAACAGTCATGTCTAATGCTATTTGTTGCTGCTGACTTAATTTTAAATAGACATGACAGAGTTCTCCCAATGACAAAATATAAAGTATTATAGCAAATCTTTCCATTAACCTTTTTAAAAATGTACAATTAAAGATAAAACCTTCTGTGGCACACTATCAAAAGAGAGAATAAAAAATGGATTTCTAAAAGCATTTCAGTGAAACACTTCTAAGAAGTGTTAAACAGTAATTTCTGCTTAAAATTTTGGAAAAACAATTTTAAAAAGAAGATGTATTTCTTTGGATTGCTTTTCATACAATAAATTGATAATCTGTTTTTAAGTATTTTGTCTAGTATCTGTAAGGTGATTTTAGTTATATATCTTACAAACCTTACATCAGATCACATAAGCAAGTTAGTAGGTATCAAACACACACACACACACAAATGTATATGTATTGATAAAGTCTTCTGCTTAGCAGATGACCAAAAATGGACCACCTCAAGTGGTAGTCAACACTAGTAAGCCATCTTATACAAATGTGTAAGATGAGACAAGAGTCGTGACTACTTAGCAATACAACTGTTTTTAATTAAAAGTACCAGAATATTTTGTTTGACTTGATTTACTGTTTTATTAACTCGACTTATAACAGCAAAGGAGAAACTGTTAACAATGCAGATTAAATTTAAAAGTTTGCTGCATCTAAAGTCACTCATTGTGAATAGCACAATGTTCTTCCAATATCTGAAACCATTATCCAATTCAGCAAATAAACTGCTCTTGTCATTTATGAACAAAGTTTCAGCATATGTGTTCATGATTTTCACTTTCAGCTACTCATTAATGTAAATGAAAATACCAACCAATATTCATGTCAGAACTACTATTCATCAACTGAAATCAGTTTGGTCATGGATACAAGAGTTCGGGGCAGGGGGGAAGAATATCAAGGAAAGTCTTCTGTTTAAAAAAACAAACAAACAATGAATGTATCTAAATGCCTCGTACTTTTTGGGGAGACAGATGTCTTATCCCTTCTCTATGTTCATAGTAATTCTAGATGAGCAGCCAAATATGTCTTCTTAAGCTATATAATAATTACTATAGGAACCATTTTGCAAAACCTTTCATATATTAGGCCTTTCTACACATCTTCTGTTAGTGGCACAGGGCTATGTTAAGAAGAAGCATTTACACCAACAGATGTAAAAGTGAAAACCGGTAACCAATAATAACCAAAATATGAAATCTATAGCATATAAATTTGGATA